TCAGTTGATTTAAGAAACAAGGTTAGAATTAGTATAGGATATATAAAATAAAATATAAAATGTATTAGGGTAGAGCGGAGCTTAAAGGTCCGCAGATAAAAAGGTCCACCATCAGTATCTCAAAGACAAGTAAAGTTAAAATTTTTTTGCCAACAATATTTGAAAGTAGAGGGAAAAAAAATATATAACCAGCCATTATTTTGATTTTAACGACGTTGCTATTAGGAGATAAACGGCAAGTCATAACAAAAATATTTTCTTTCACTTTTAGTTTTGGTTTTGAACTGTTCTCTAGTTACGAGACTCAAATGTATTGTTAATTTTAAGTTAAATTTAACAGTTAGACAGTTTATATAATTTCTATAAAATCTGGCATTTTGGTGAGGCAGAGGTGTGCAAAATAAAAAATAGTAAATGAAAAGGTAAATTAAGATAAAAAAGCTATTTTACAGAAGTTAAATAAACATTCTAACTCTGCTAATAAATATTTTTGATGAAATACAAGATCAAGATTATCTGTGTGATCTGTGTTATTTCTGTAAAAATGTACTCTCTGTAATGTAGGTTTTAAATTGGTTGAATAATATAGCTATTATTTTTAATAGCTATATTATTTACTATATTACAAATAATATAGCTATTATTTGTAAAATCCCTTAAAAATTAGAATAAAACATTGGATCTGTTTGCCTCCTGGCCCCCAATGGGGTAAAAAGGACCAAGTACCTAATTTTTGAACAATTGCAAATACATTTTTACAATGATGAATTAGCTAAGAGATTACTGAAAATAGTCAGATAGTTGTTTGTGACACAAATGATTTGGTTTTCATAATATAATTGCTCAAAATCAAATTGGAGATTTTGTTGTTTTTTCAATTTTTCACGATTTTTTGCCATTTAATATCAAATTTTGAGTTACAAACTACACATATATATATATATATATATATATATGTTTAATTTGAGTTTAATATTCGGGCGTAACATCAATTAAAATAGTATGAGTTTTTTTTTTTTTTTTTTTTATTAAATTTATTTATTTAAAATCCATACGTTTCGGCTAAGCATCTTAGCCATCATTCAGTGGTAATCAAGTTAACTATAAAAATTGAAACTAAATAAATTATATGAAAGGAAATTTTGTGGAAAAACAATAATAATAATAATGGTAATAAAACACTTACAATTTGTATCTAATATTAGCATATGAAACCCATATTAATCCATGGTATGAGTATGTGCACATTGATAAGATTATATATTTTTTAACAAAAACATCACAAATGGTAAAACACACTAATAATGATAACTTAACAAGTTGTTCGAAACTATGTATTTACTCTTTGGAGTTTAGGATAGAAATGCCACATTTTCTCAAAGCAGTTTTTAGCATGTGTGATATTTTTTGGAAAATTTAAAAGGCGATGGGATTTGGTTTTTTTAAGGAATTTTGACACGCTATAAGAAACCACGTGTTCGTTTCGATAAGGGCCGTATTGTCATTGCGTTTATTTATGACTCTGTCGTTATGTAATTGTAAAAACAAACGCAATGACAATACGGCCCTTATCGAAACGAACACGTGGTTTTTAATAGCGTGTCAAAATTCTTAAAAAATAACAAAATCCCATCGCCTTTTAAATTTTCCAAAAAATATCAACACATGCTAAAAACTGCTTTGAGAAAAATGTGGCATTTCTATCCTAAACTCCAAGAGTAAATACATAGGTTCGACACCTGTTAAGTTATCATGATTATAGTGTGTTTTACCATTTGTGATGTTTGTGTTAAAAAATATATCTCTTATCATGTGCACATACTCATACCATGGATTAATAATGGTTTCATATGTATATTAGGATTACATACAAATTGTGTAAGTGTTTTATTACATTATTGTATTATTGTTTTTCCACAAAATTTCCTTTCAAATAATTTATTTAGTTTCAATTTTTATAGTAACTTGATTACCACTGAATGATGGCTAAGATGCTAGCCGAAACGTATGGATTTTTAAATAAATAAATTTAATAAAAAAAAAAAAAAAAAAACTCATACTATTTTATTGATGTTACGCCCGAATATTAAACTCAAATTAAACATATATATCAACATCAAATTCAAGAATATTCAAAAATATATATATATATATATATATACATACATGTAAAACATATGTCGCATACCCAATGCAAACAACATATTGTTTATTTTATGGATCTGTGTTATTGACTATTTTTATTCTTCCAAAGTTTAATTGCAGAAACTTTCAGTAATTTTCCTTAAGGCATAATGCCATGCGACAATAGTTAATATTTATATACCAACAAAGTCCATAATTAGTGGTGCATGGCATCGTGCCTTAAAGCAAACTGTCGCAACTTTCCATACCGTAATAAAATATTTTAAAAATGTTTTAAAATGTATGATTATAAATACAGTAACTTTCAATTACTATAACTCACCATGCAGGAAGTTAAAAACCGTACCATTTAAAATTTCTCACACAGGTCAGGAAATCCGAAACTAGCCATCGCTAAAAAAGCACTTACTTTCCATATTCTCATATTTCCCATGCACTTTTTTCCATCGAATCGGCCTTGATCGAAATCTCTGTTACCATTTAGGTGAATTTATGGCCTGCCGGATCCCCGGACTCGTAAATGGCATTTACGCACTAGTACTACTGGCCTGCGGAAATAGAAAGCCTCCGGGCTAACGGAATAACGGAAACGTTATAACTGGTGCGCGGACGGTTTCCGTTGTCATTAATATAGTCTATGACTGTGTATAAATGGTAATTGATGGTATGGACTTATTGGTTTTTCATATCGATTTTTGGAGAATTATGAATGATTTTTAACTTTCCGTAGGGTAAGTTAATGTATACGTCCAAAAATTGAATTTGAAAATTTGTGCATATCTTTCACGTTTCGAAGGTTTTTGAACATTTTAGCATTTCTTAGAAAAAATTGATGTGTGTGTATGCGTGCTTGTATGTATATATACATACAACTTAGCGTCCACAATTTCGGTCATACAGATTCAAAAAAACATTCGATTCCTACTGATGAGGAGACATGCTAATTAGTTTTTGGCAAAGAAGGTCCAGCCAGTTTTTGAGAGCATATGAGCATACGATTCGAATAATTAAAAAAATTGAATATTTTGAAAAATTGAAATGGTAAGAAGAACAGATGATTAACTGTTGGCAGACAGGTCCAGCCATTTCGGAAATACAAAGCTAAAAATAGCAGTTTTTGAGAGAACGAAACATCCGATTTGAATGATTCAAAAAATCTTATGCTTGTATTAACGAAACGATTATTTTTGCGGAAGATATTTTCATTGCTTTTTTTAAGTTTCTTTTAATGGTATTGACACCCTACCATATGTAGGTTTTGAGACAACTTTAGAGTCTTACAGCTGGGTAGCTCGATTTCCAAGATTCCTATTAAATCTAAGCTTAAATGACTGGACTAAAAATTTTAATGCTCACTCGTATAATTCAAAACAATAATTGCAACTTTTAATAATCCTTTATTTTAACTCCGCTTTATTGAGTTTTGCCATTCACTTTTTATAAGCTCTTATATTTTGTCTATAAAATACTAATTATGAAAGTAATAGTATTTATAATAATCTTTATGAAAACACAGCAATTTGCCTTAAGGCACAAGGCCAAATGCCACTAATTAACTTCCTGTAGGATAAGTTATAGTAATGAGTCAAAAATCAAAAATGAAAATTTTTGCAGATCTTCATGTTTCAAAAGTTTCTGAACATTTTGGCATACCTCAGAAAAACGTTTGTGTGTTTTTGTATGTGTGGAGACAATTTTGCATCCACGATTTCAGGCGTACGGATTATCCGATTTGAATGGTTAAAAAAATATTCGATTCCTATTGTTGAGAAGACGTTTGTTGAGGAGATTCTTTTGACAAAGACAGTACCAGCGGCTTTAGAGATATAGAGCAAAAAGTGCTAAAGATGCTTTTAATAGAACGGATCAACCGATTTGAATGATCCGAGAAATATTCGATTTGTAATATTAGGGAAAAGTGGTGATTAGGTTTTAGCAAAGGCAAGTTCAGCCATTTTGAAGGTACAGAGAAAAATGTGCAAAAAATGGCTGTTTTTGAAAGAACTAAGCGTCCGATTTAAATTATTCAAAGAACTTTTTGCTTGTGTTGACGAAATGATTGCTTTTGGGAAAAATTATTTTTTTATTTCAATTTTTTTTAGCAAAAAATTTTTTTTTTAATATCGAAAAATAATTCGGATTTTTATTCTAAATCTAGCTAAAGTTCTAAATGTCACTCTTATACTTCAAATAAATATTTTTAACTTTGCAATACGGTTTATATAATTCTTAGAAATATGAGATAAGATCCTTCACTCTAACACCGATGATCAAGTCTTGTTTATTTACTTTTATAAAATAAGAATAATAAATATCCTTAGAAATATTCCTCGAATATTTCGTCACGGCACAGGAAGTTCCAGCAATTTGCATAAGGCACGATGCCATACACCACTAGTTTGTTTTGATTTAGTCACGTGTTTTATGACATGAGATAACAGCATGTCAATTCTCTTCAGAATAAGCAATCAATATATTATATTATATTCTGATAATATAATAACAATGACAATGATACATCTGATATATCATTGTCATTTTTGTCGTTACTAATTGCCACAGTAGATGTTACAACTAACCCTAAAAATGGGGTAAGTTGTAACACCGCACTTTTTCTAGAAAATGACTAATTGTGAAATAATAAAAAATAGTTATGGAATTATTTTGACTTGATTAGGCAGAGGAATAGTTAAAGCAGCTACCTAGCTTTGTTGCGTGGAAATGTAATCAGTCGATCCCAAGATATATTAATTTGAAAACAATTGTTACAACAAGCATCAAGCTCCCTTGTATGACATTATAATTCCCTTTTTTTGATTGGCAGAATAAAAAATTATTAAGAAAAAATCACTAACCTCCCAAATCAGCCTGAAGTCGTGTTGCTCCACTCTCAACAATTCGCACGTCGTCCTGGTGGTAACAGTACTCTCCCGAGGTAGATCGTGCAGAATCGACTCTCCAAAAGTGGCCCCTACACCAAGACTGCATAGTGTCACTGGTATCTGGAATAAAAGAAATAACAGTCAATATACTATAGAACATATATACAAAGTTTAATCTATAAATCCATGTCGAGTCGTGATAAATTTACAACCAAAGATTTAATTTCAGATTTACCTTCGTTCTCGGTTTGAGATGATAAACCCCTTTCTGGGGCCACATAACCAACTGGCAGTTTAGCTAAGTAATTATTTCCAACTTGACATCGCAACAATGTATCCTTTTGCAAGATAACATAACTTCTTTACAAAACTTTACTTTACTAAACTTATAAATGTTGCACGATAATAAACTTCACCTCGTGTCTTTTACTTTGTTCACAATCGTAATTACTTTTCACAAGATATCATTTCTCTGGTGTATTTCGTAAAGTTTTCTCAATCTATTTTAGTTTTATAAAGGTAATTTAATTTGTCGTACAAAGAAAAGAAAAAACTGTTTTAGAACTGACAATTTAGAATACAATTTTTATTAGATTCTCATACATTTCCCAAATTTTTTCAGAACAATGTTTATGTGAAGCTATTAAAAAAAAACAGAATCAAATAACTTATTCCAAAATATATATTTATCCTCTAGATGGTAAATTATGTTAATACACAATTTTCCCTTCATCTACATCATCTTATTATAAAACTCCTATATCTTTTTATCATTACTCCAACAATGTAAAATCATAATGGAAAAGTTGAATAGTTCAGTAGAGCTTTTGTGTAACTTTTAGATTAATTTTACTATAATGGAAAAGCTCTTTTGATATCATTAGTTGAAGGGCACTTATATGATGTATAAGGGCTTTGGAGCAGATTAAAATTGAATGATGTATGAGGTCAAATGGGTTGTAGGTCAAAGATGGAAAAAAT